CATATGTAAGAGATGTTGGAAGATGCCGCTGCGCGAGGCATCCGCCTATTGTAAAACGGAGGAAATAGTTTATTTTATTACAAGCTAAATATCACTTTTAATACTCCTTAATGCATTTATGTTCAATGTAGCTTATATGATAACACGATTTGGTCTATATTGTGTTTTTGGAAGTAGTTTTTTTTGTTGCTTTGTTCGTATGCGACTATTAGTTTTAATATATACATTTTTAATGTTGTAAAATGTTTTAAAAGGCCAAAATTGCGGTGGTCTTGTCTTGGTAGGCTGTATTAAAGGTGTTAGTCATCATCGAGGGCCCCACCCTCAGTTATCAGACAGGTACATTAAGGCTTTTGTTTTATTTCATAGCCGTTTTAATATTAATATACTTGTTGCCCATAGCAACCGATATTACTGGCAGGCGTACAAGTCTCGGTTACACGACTTCCTACATTTGTAGTTGCGCTAAATGTCGCTATTAAATAATAGTCACGTGCCGCTTTGTCTACGTTTATACTGGTAGCTAAACGTAAACACGCAAGCTTTCAGTGACTTTCTTTGTTTTGACAAATTACCGGTTAGCGCAAACGAATAAAGGGCCTTTTCAGCCGCGTCCCCAGCTGTCGACAAAACTTGTAAAAGTATCCGATGTAGGCAGTTTTTCGATATGAAAGAGGAGTTTGTTCGCTAACGGCAGTCGTGCTAAACGCGGCGTTTTGTTTGATTCAGCTTTTGGCGAAACTGGTATTGACAGGAAAAAGCTGGTCAAACAATTACGTCCATTTGGAAAGGCTGATCTTTGTGACCGTAATAAAGCCAACAAGTCGCGTGCTTGAGGTAGAGCCATTACATTGGCTTTATTGGCAGGCAGAAGTCTGGCTCAGCAGTCCTTTTGTTTGCAATGATACCGAGCAGCTGATGGACGGATTAAATGCCCAAGTGAAGTGAATGTGCTTAGGCAATCTGAAAATCTTTTTGATGTATATAGTGTTGCATACACCGTTTATGTAGTACATTGTACATTTATATATCTTATCTACAGTATGACTGTATACAAAACATCTCTTTGTGCTGT